TTTATCAACAAACCTAACTACCTTTTGGTTTTCTGATACGGCGTTCACCGGGATTAACATAGTTGTCCATACCACGTTTTGAAGAAGAAGACGAACCTATGAATGTTTTGTCGCAGTGTGATCCGAGTGAGGCACCACATTTGTTTGGAAGGTCACAGATGTTAGCTATGAAAAAAACAATTACTTCCTATGATGCTGATAGCCGGTGTGAGATCAACTGGTTTTTTGCATTTGATGAGGAAGTTTGAGAAATTAAGCGATCGAGACAAAACAAAAACATGGAAGAAAGAAATGATATTCAATACCAGCACATATTTATTCACCTCTTCTTATTCGCACGTCACTTATACTGCAAAGGAAGATCTGCTCTCGCTTTTTCTTGGTTTTCTTTTCACTGAAAGCTGTTAAATAGATAGAGATCTAATGAGGCTTGACATTGATACCATTACGATTAAGGATTCAGTTAAACTAAGTCTACAAAAGCTATCTGGTGCAGTATTAAAAGTTAATAACATGTATTAAATAAGGTGAGCCAAGATATTATAAAATATTTATAAACTCTTGTGTGAGCGTGGAAAAATAAATAGACCGATATGTGAATGGATGTAGGGACGTATTGATGGCGGGGCTGTAATTAAGTTTGAGTTGTGTTGGATTACTTTAAGCACATTCGCGAATTTTCAAAAAGGTTCGAACATTAAAGCAACAAGGTAATGGAACTTTTTTGTGACATATCGTTTCCCCAATATATCACCCTTGCGAAACTTCAATTCAACGACATACCGTATTCCAGAGCGCGGATAGCGTTGAAGGCGCGCCTTCATTGGCTATTCAAACTCGATCATCACCATCTGGCGCTCTATCGGAATATTCCAAAAATTATCTTTTAGTGCTGTATTATAGTACTATTTTAGTTTATACAAAACAACTATATATTATTAAAGAGCGGATAGCGTTGAAATAGGCGCGACGTTTCGACAGTGACTTAATGTTTGTTTTATAATATGGACGGGTGCTTTTACCGTCTTCTTCAGGCGATGAGGTCGGCTGGTTATGCGTGATCTTATAAAGCATGATGCTCTGCCGGTGATCGGTTGTTTTTCAACAGCTCTGATTGGTGCATTTCGATCCTTGCTGTTCATGCAGTGATTTGCTCCCTCGGCGGTCCGCTGTCGCGCGGCTCTCCTGTTGTTGTGTTTCTTGATCGTGGGCATTTCAATTTCTATTCCACTATCCCTGTTGATGTTGTTAGGGTGAAGTTTTGTATGAATAGCCTCTTTGACCCTGCGCGTGTAGTAATAAGGGTCACGATCAATAAACTTTACTTCGTTCCAGAGTGGCTTGTGTCCGGTGATGTGGGCATGCTCTGAAACGGCGGAGGTCTCGGTACGGGCGAGTCGAATGTCTCGATCGTGCTCCTTAATTCTGTCTTGCATAGGTCTTCCAGTCTCTCCGATGTACACTACACCATCTTGTTTAGCCGGGTCGACAGTGTCTTTCGGTCGTACTAACTGAGATCTTAGCGTAGTCTCCGACTTGAAAACAGCGCGTACGCCTTGTTGTTGTAGGTAGCGGCGAAGCTGTTCGGATAGACCTTTAACATAAGGTAAAACCGCAGTGGCTTTGAACTCGTTGGCGGGTTCGGCACTGTTGTTTGGTTTTCCGGTCTTGGTAAGTTTCTGCAAGAAAGAAGAAGGATAACCATTAGAAACCAGAACAGATGACAGATGTTTTTTCTCCTCAGAGATAACGGAGGGTTTTGTTACGAGGCGTTTGGCGCGCTCGTAAACGCACTTAACAATACCACGTTTTACTGATTGAGGGTGGTGTGAATCATACGCTAAGTATTGATCGGTGTGCGTGGGCTTCCTGTATACGCTGGTGGAGATGCAGCCGTCAGGTTCTCTTAAAACTGTGGTGTCCAGGAAGGCGAGTTTGTTGTCTTTCTCTGTCTCCATGGTGAAGCGGATGGAAGGCTGCTGGTTGTTTAAATGCAGTAGGAAGTCGTCCAGTCGCGATCCAGGATGGTAAAGGTGTCATCCACGTAGCGTTTCCAGATCCTAGGCTCGTAGGATGATGTAGTTATCGCTTGTTCTTCGAAATTCTCCATGTAGAGGTTGGCAATGACGGCGGAAACCGGACTCCCTATGGCGGCGCCGTCTTTTTGCTCGTAAATCGATCCGTTATACTGAAAGTATGTGGATCTCAAGAGTGGTCATATCCCGCTGCAAGGACGTCACATTTTATGCCTTTTCTAACTCTGCTGATTGAACTTGGTTTTTTCGTTTTTTGGAAGAATGAACGCCGCAAGATTTGTTCTGGGCGTGTCAACTGTTTTGTTAGGAGAGGAAACTGAAACGGCTTGCTTTTCACATGGTGGTTCTACAGGAAGTTCTTTTTAAATCCACCAGATCGGAAAGGCACATTTATGTTCGTGCTTCATAGCCTCAAGGGTTTGTAGGGGAAAGAGGCTAAAAATGATATCTTATGAATCAAGTCAGAGTCAGAAATAGAATTTTCATTAAGTTTATTTAAAAGCAGCTCACATGTATTTTGGTCTAACCGAAGGTATTATAAGCAAACCTCTTTATAATTTGGTATTTTGTTTGTATTAATACCCAGTATTTGTATTAAAAGCCAGGTTTTCAATCTCTGTCTTTTATATTCATTGCCATGTAATATAACAAAATTAAAACTTAGCCTGTAGATTTGAATATTATGTTTTCGTGGCGAGAACAATATCTCATTGGTTCGCAGCACTCACTCGTGAGATTTTGTTCTTGCCACTCGAACATAAAACTCATAACTTCTCGCCACTTCCTAACTTTGGTGAAAAGCTTATAGTGATCTCCTTGCCAGAGCAAAAGAAGCATAAAATACTCACATTAAAGTTTGCACAATTACTCGGAAATTTTCCAAAACATAATATATGGAAGTTATCGAAGCCCACAGGTGGATCGTAATTTTTATCACATGACTAGTTTATAAATATAAATTCTTTATTGTTAGCTTGAGCCTCACTTATTCTTATATCAACGTTTGGTAGTCTTCTTCCAGGTCTAATTGCAACAGATACTACCCACGCTCGCATTTCTTAATCAACTCTCCCCATCTGTTTCACCAGATGACGGGTTCGAGAGCAGCTATAAGGATTTTGGTCTACGGCACAACTGGCCAGATAGTGAATTTGAGCGCTGCTTTGAGATGTAGGTCGTTTGCCAGCAATATTAATCCACTTTCCACTAACTAACAGCACAACCTTTTGACTACCTCACACCTTTTGAAATCCTTAGGGAATCTTTTGAAAATCGTTCACGAAAAGATATCTGTCAATGATATACTCTAAACCCTTCATAGTAGCAGATTTTTCGTTGATGAAGCAGGAAATTTGTAAATATTGGTTGATTCTATTTACGCTTTAAAAATTTCAAGAATAGATCATTTATTCCTTATATTTTTATATTTTCTTCATAACATCGTAGCCTAAGTGGCCGTATAACTGAAAGGTCGTAATTCATATACAGTGGGGAATTCGTAGGAAAAAAAAAATAAACTCACTTTTAAGTGATGAAACATCCATAACCCTAAATGATATGAAGACTTGAACATCATAATTTAAACGTGAAAACACTATACTATGTGACAGTCACATACAGAACAATACCATATTTCCATTATTTTTGGTCGTCACCATTTTATCGTAGAAAAAAAACCAGAAACTCACTTAAAAGTGATAAAATATCCATAACCCTAGATGATACGAAGACTTGAACATCATAATTTAACGTGAAAACACGATACTATGTGACAGTCACATACAGCACAATACCATATCTCCATAATTTTTGGTCGCCACCATTTTACCGTTTAGCACTACAAAATATTGCAGCAAGTCAAGGAACAAAATCCCAACAACGGTATTTCTGCTCATTACAATAAAATCCTGACCCAGAAATTAACTTTCTACCCAGGTTTTCACCTGGCGACTGCTCAACGCTTATTCCACTGAAGGCCAGTGTTATGGATTTGTAATAATTTAATGACGCCAACGAGTAATGAATTGAGCATTATCAATTAACTACGCGCGCTCTCTATTAAATTAAAAAAATAGGAGAGTAATGCATTTGACTCGATTATTTCCACTTTAATAATATACATGAAATAACGAGCTTCTGATTGGCTGAAAACGGGTGCATTTGTCGTGTAACACGAGTGCAAATTACAGATAACACGTACTGCCAAGATTCCATCCGTCTTGACTTTTCATGTAAATTATAAACAAGTAACAACACGATTCGCGTGCAACTCGATATAAGTAAGCACAAATAGCACTCGCCCTGGAGGCTTGTACAATTTTGTTGTCTTCGAAAATTTAAATTGCGCTTATCAACAACAAATTGCACACGAAATCATGCTCTTAACAGGACAAGTCAATAAGCAGGCCTAGAATCGAGGAAACCACAAGCCGGACGTTACCTAAGCAAATTCATCCCACAATTGCAGGGCGACTCAACTTTTTTTATTAAAAATTAACCCATGCGGACACAACGTGTCACTTCAATCGTATCTGCGAATTGATGAAAACCACATGAACTAATATCCCTGTGGGCTAACTGCTCAACCTCTCTGACCCTCGTGCCTCGCACGGAAAGTTTCGCTTTCCGGTCATTGTCACTGCATGTCGTGTTTTTAAACTGAAACAACAAGACCGATGCGCCGTGCAACTGTTGTGGAGTGAAATGCATTGGAATAAGACTCTTATGCTCCTTGTGTTGGAACCTCTCATTCACCAGTTACCTTTCTTGGGGTTGAAGTGTATTCCATATTATTATGTCGCTATGGAAACTTCTAATAAGCTTTAGAGACTTTCCAGTCGGACCTTAATCTTTATCATAGAGTTTCCAGTTTGTCTCAGATTGTAATCTCACGCACTAAACAGGACACGTCAATAAACAGGCCTGGAACCGAGGAAATTACAAACCGGACGTTACTCATAGTCTATGTCATTCAGAGGTGGGCGAGACGTAGATCGTTTGATATCCGCCATTCGAAGAAGAACACGGTATTATTTTAACTGTTTTTCGCCAGCTTTGGTTGTAATACTTCTAGCACCGGTTTCTACAGCTTTCAAGCCAGTCTTCTTTAAAGTAGGTAGCGAATGAGTTAAATGTTTGTCTCTTTATGAAGTTGATAACTCACAGCTAATTTGACAATCAGCGAGATGACTTGTTATGTTAGGAATTGAAAAATATGTATGTGTTGTTTATCGCGTTCTCACGTCCAATCGTTCTGATTACACGCTTCCCTATTTAAGAACGATTTAATTTATCTCTGTTACACATTGAAAGGAAAATTATTTTACAAATAAGTTCGTAACGACAAACACAGTTTCCCGATGGTTAACAGAAATATCATTATACCGACAAAGTTGCTTTGTTACGACGGTTGAATGCACCATGTTTTCCTTCTAAGGCTTCGAGAATTACTCAAGTATTTTAAATACTTTCCGTTTCCAAATGATGAGTGTTTAAATGAAGATTTATGACAAACAAGTACAGTCTGACATAATTCAAGACGATAATTCATAAAAATTCAATTAATTTTTTATTCCTCAGTCAACTGGGAAGCTCTTTATTAGCAATAATAATAGATCCAGCTTCCCAAATTTCAGTTATTTTAAATTAATCGCGTTTAAAAGGTTCGGTTTGACAAATATCACACGACCAAAAATTAACAGTATTTTCCAAAGTAAAGATTCCGCCCTCTTGTACTCTTTCGTAATGACCCCACGGAATAATAATTGATCATTAGACAACAGAGATTAAATACAACAATACTTCTGAACAAATCTATACTCAAGACAGAAACAGTATGAACTTGTTTTCTCTAGTCGAACGAAAGAAAAAAAAACCTTTCGAGCGGCAGTTCAAACACTGGCTTCACTAAACATTTTGCCTGTGGCACGTGGCCGTCTGTAGACATCATGTGAGGTAAAATACTTTGATACATTTGTCACAAGTAAGTCACACCAACCTAGAATTAAGAGCTTGTTCGATGTAATCGTCTTAGTCAAACTTGAAGTGGTTTTCATCATCAGGGCAAATGTCAAACTCTCCTCGTCACTCGTAAATCAGAGTAAAATTTTTTAGCTGTTTGCCAGCCGCTTGCCTTGAAAAAATATATATCTAAAACTTCCTCTGGGAAATTGATTTTTCTTCTTCTCTTCCCTAACCATGCTTTAAAATTACGTTATGAAATAAGTGTGTCGTTAAATTTGCATGGATAAAAATCAACATTGCGTGAAGTATTGCTTGTATTGACCCGGGGAAGTGGAGAGTTCAAAATACTGTTGTAAATGGCACAAGTGCTGTTGAGGGTCTCACATACTAGTTTCTATCACTGAATTTATTTCGTTGTCTATTGTAAAATATCCAAATGGAAAGGAGGCAGTTTTTTAAAACTATCGTGCTTTTCTAATGAGATTAAGAATTGATCGTCTCGCGTGAGGCGATTTAATATATAGACTAAGTCCCTCTTGACCTGTCAATGTTTGCTTTGTCATTCAATGGGGACACTCACAAGGTTATTAATAATCAGAACGAAAACTTCTTATTCTAGTTGGTGACCAAGAATGGAAAAAGTTGAGATACATATCAGGTGCGACAGGCATATATATATATATATATATATATATATACACAATTGCAATACAAATGAAGCCGAAATTCTCTTGTTATTATTGGATACAACTGAACTCCAATAAGACCAAAAAGCCAACTGTTTGACCTTTCGAAATAGAAACATCACGCGATCTGTTTTTTTTTTTTAAGTTTTCCTTCTTGAAGCCGGCCGGAAAATAAACTCTCGATTGACTAATTGCCGAAGAGGTAATAATTGAAAATGGGTGCATCCAACATCAAAAATTTCCACAGGAAATAGCAGTTATAATTCGAACACACAGTTCATCAAAACAACTTTTAAAATACAATATCATTTTTCAGAGAGAAAGAAAAAAACTAAACATGAAATTCACCAAGAGCAAAATGAAAAGTGAAATCTTGTCAGTATTTTGTGGAGCCCTAGCAATGTTGAAATAACTAAATTTTTAAAGCACTAGGATAAGAAATAGTATCATCGGTAAGGAAGATATTGTATCTATCTATTCAATATGAAACTGAAATCCTAAAAATTTCTATTTTCGGTTTATTGATAAGTTCAGAGAGTGCCCTTTTCTTATTCTTTTAAAATTTGTTTTGCCTAAGAACAAAGATAGTAGTACAACAAATTAGGGTGTCCTGACTCGACTTTGAAATATCGAATACAGTTTAAAAGGATGCTTTTCAAAGTTTTTCAGCCCTTAACAAAATTTATTATAATCACATCACTGTTCGATATTGACCTTTGTGGCTCATCCAAGTTAAATTTTAGATGCACTTACAACATGCGTAATTGTCTTTTCGCAGATGGCCATCTTGTAGTCTCTTCGAAACGTTAAAATGAATTTAACCTTAGAAGAGTCACTCTTAAGTTGTTTTTTAACAATTGAAGATCGATAAAAAAAGAAAGGGGTTTTGTTGGTTTGCAGATTTTGGGGGTCGGTTGCAATTTTTGTACTTCATTCCAGACCTTGAATGATCAGTTGCATCAGGAATTCCAAGAAAGATTCCTATAGGGTTGTTATGTTTAAGTAGAGATTTATAGACTTACCAACTCCTTCTCCCTCAAAAGGTGTTCACTAGCCTGTGTGACTTTCTATCATGTCTGTTCACATTGCCGTGACAACGATATTAACCCTCCTCATCGTTGTGGACATCATCGGTAACTCTCTTGTTTGTATCATCATAACAAGGAATTCTGAAATGAGGTATGTCCAGCTTTTATTAGCAACTTCAGACAATTTGTAAAAAAAAGTCAACAAGCCTTTGGTCCTAAGCTAATTTATAACCAAAATTACAATAAAGACAGACTCGCTTTCCATTTTGTGAAGGTTGTTCTGGCATTTCTCTTGATTTCATAAACATCCCTGGGAATTTTTTTATTGGCTAGTACTACAGCAGATAAAATAATACAACAGATCTTGCTACGGATAAAATCTAAGCTTGGCGATACTCGAAAATCTGATATTCACCGCGTCTCAAGTCTATTTACTGGCTTGATATCGCCATAAAAACCGAATAAGAGCCGGAATCGGAGAAGGTGGCATAAGCTGAGGTCCTAAAAACCCCTGCTGATTGTTCCTTTTTTTTCTATGCCACACATTGTAGTGCCTACTGAGAAAAACAATGAGTGAAGTTTGGTACTTCAATGCGGGGAAATTTCTCATTATCGGATAATTTATTCTATGAATGAATTCTTTGGTGAAAAAAATTGACTGTACTACACGGATTAGCAAATATAGCTAACTTCATTCCGTCTTTCCAGGTCCAATCTGTTCGTGCGCATATGAAAACCAAACAAACAAACAACTGAAACGCGTTTTACCCGAAAAAATTCAGCATGAAAGGAGATGTACTAATAACAAATATATTCAACAGGACTCCCATGAATTACCTCCTTGCAAACCTCGCGATTTCAGACATCATGTTCGCCAGTTTTCAAGCTCCAAATCATATCCTAAAAAGAGCCTTTACCCACCCGAAAGGAACTGTTGGCTCAACGTTATGTAAAGTGCTCACTAATGGAAATGTGGCATGGATAGGAGCGGCGGCTTCGGCTGTAACTCTGGTTGCTATAGCAGTTGAACGTTACTTCGCAGTGGCGTGTCCCATTGGTACCCAAAGAAAACTTACCAAACAGAAAGTGAAGGTTAGTTAAGAATTCAGACTAGAAATCGTCTGTCTGGGTGTCACTGAAAAACATTCAGAAGTTAGTTAATGTTGTTCCAAACGGAATCGTTTAATACCACACAGCAAGCTTGTTCAGGAATTGCTGACATAGCTGTAAGTCCCTGCTTTCAATTCCATTTCCATGCCTTTTCTCCTATTTCACTTGAATTTGATCAGACAAATAATTTCATTTAACAATTACAGAGTATGGTTAAAACATGAATTTCTGACAGAAGTAGCGTTCTCTCAATTCAGGTAATCATTTTTGGATATTGGATCTTTGCGGTGACTTTAAACTCGCCATTGATTTCGGTGACGATATTCGACGAAACAACCGGCGACTGCGAGCGGTATTGGCCTGAGCAGTGGATGGGTGCAGCAAATGAGACCACGTGGCTTGTACTGTTGGCCTGTATTCCTTTAACAATAATGACAGGGTTATACTCAAGGGTTGTGTATAAATTGTGGTTTCAGCGAAATGAGGAAAATAGATCAGCGTGTCGAGAAAAGGTAAATAGTGAAAGGGAGGAGGGGAAAACGTCCCAAAATTTTAATTCATTTTGCTATCTTTCTTCGTAAAGTTTGAAACCATCCAGTAACCTGTAATGAGCTGCGAACAATTATGGGAAATGGAGTTGCTGTTAGGGCGAAGTCAGTTACAGTAGCTCAGTGAAATCGTAAACATTATAAGCCTTAAGAATCTCTTTCAAAAACGTGGAGAAGCATTGTTTCTCCAGCACTTAAATCCCCATTTTTGACTTTCAGGGAGTACTGAAGGTGAGGAAACGAGCCACCTTGAGTGTGATCACAGTCAGTGCCATCTTTGGAATCTGTTGGATCACTGGCTTATTGGTTTACGTTTTGAGTTACTACGACATCCTCATGTTTGGCTCGGCTTCGTGCGTCATTGCTGACACCTTGTTTATGTTTAATTCTGTTGTCAACCCGTTTGTTTACTCGCTGCTCAACCAACGTTTCAGACAGAAGCTGAAGGGAATGATGTGTTGCTTATCCTTTCCTGCCAACGAGGATCTCACCCTAAGCGAACCTGGTGAAGCTGCACTTCCTAAAAACTCTCCGCACGCGACTAATTCTTCAGGAGCATGCACAAGTTCAACACTATCGATAACCAAATCCGAAAAACGGTTCAGCAGTAATTTGACTCAACTGTGAGAATAAATTAAAGAGCGGAAATTTTCTGGGACTCGAACAATTTTCTTGGAGTTTTTACAAATATTTAGATATGGGAAAAGAAAATCCAGTAAAAGAAAAAACATTTTATCTACCACTTGCTTACACTCCAGCGAGTTTAGGATCGAAAGGAATGGTTACCTCAATGCTGTATAGATAAAAAAAAAGCACTGCTGTTGTTAACGCGGAAAATTTTATTTTTTTTAGCATTCTCAGTTAGCTTGCTAGGGGTTTATTTTAGTCAGTAAGGAAGTAGCCCATGGACACTTGACTAACTGATTAAGGATTTGACTTAACTAAAAAACTGGCAATATATATGAGAAATTCGACGCCCAAATGTCCATCAATACAAAAAGCATTTAAGCGTCCACTAGTTTAAACGCTTAATTCACTAAATGGACAGAATCGGCCAGCATAGTACCATGTAAATAAAACATACTGTCGTTGTAATCCAGTTTGTCTAAAATAACGATTAAACTGAAAACTACAATATTTCTTAGATTACCTCAGTTCTTGAGTTTTAGCAAGTGAGTGCCCTTGTAGCACTCGAGTGAAGCAATAATTGAATTTATTTAATTATAATTCGTTGTGTGCGTGCCATTTCGAACGCCTACTTTTATTATCCGTCTTTAAAAGACAAAGATTTATTTCAAGAAAACAATAAAACATGGCAAAATTGCAAAATTAATCAGACATTCAATTTCATTGAGAAATTGTCAATCAATTAAAAAAACCCAAACTAAAGAATAAATTGAAGAAAAAAATTGCAGAAGACTAGGTCACATCGCATTATTTTCAGCTGTCGACGATTCTGTCAATTCATTATAGATTTCACGCCTACAATCTCTTTCTACAAAGGCAGAGACGCAACTGATGCAGCGTAAACGTAATGAGGTTTCGCCAATAACATTGGTGTCAGTTGCATGTAAATTTCGGTTTCATTCATTTCATGGTGTAGCAATTTTTTTTCCCTCAGATATTACAAAATTACCAATTTATCTTGTTACGAACTACGCCTAATTTCATCAGATTTCCTTTTTCCATCGCCGAAGACCGCCTGTTGGATGGGAAAAGTCAGGTTAGTGAGTTTTTTGTGCGTCAAGTAAAAAACATTTGCGTCCATATATTTTGTCGGTAGTTTTATAGCGCATGTCTCAGAGAAATTGCTCATTACCTTTTTTGTTCTGTTCTTGTTTGTCATGTTTGCGAAATAAAACTTATAGCCTGTAGTATATTTGACTCTAAACTCGAGTTTCAAAAACGGTGCTTTTTCGTGCTAAATCGTTTTATCTAAATTCAGTTCCTCAAAAACTGAAAAGACTCGCTTTACATTATCTTATGATTGTTATCAGTCGACCGACACAACAAAATAACCTGCTGGTGTTTTTTCTTTGCTGGGTTCTCTCTGCAAATCAAATAAGTAGCACTATTGTAAAAAAAGAAGTTTCTATCACACTTTCAAAATAAAAATCTCACGATGACGTATGCGGATGGCGAAAAAATGATTCACCCTTAGTCATCATTTGCACGTCATTTGTTCAAACACTGCGACAGAAACTTCCGACATGAAAGCCATTTTTAAATTGAAATCCCTTGATTCATCATAGCGATTTACTGGATTAGAAGCTATGAATTGTTTTTATGCGTACCATTTCAAATCTCACACAGAAAATAGGAGACCTAGTGAAAAAAGTGAAAATCATAATTGATATTCGTTTAAGATAAATTCTTAGTAAATCCCATCTACTTTCCGGTACAACTCATATGCATCTTTATCCATCAGAATGACAGGTTCCTTGCTTTCGTATTCATTATCACCAAGCTTATAAGAAAGTAGGTTGACAAGATCTCAGCGACAGGTGCATAATTGTAGACCTCTGACTATGGCGCTAATGATAAGTATATTTACTTAGAGAACGACATGCTCTTAAGTTCTTAAAGGGATCCTCATCCTAACTGAATGAAAAAAATATTTGATAAACAGCAAAAGTTAGAACAAAACACTAGTATCACCCTGATCATAATCTTGAAATGAGCATCGGAGGCTATAAAAGAGGGATATACCGTGAAATCACTTTGGATTTCTTTCTTCCATGATACAAAAGAACTGTAAATGAAGATAGTTTCCTTATTGGTTGTCTTGTAAAGCTATCGGTTTTAACGCATTCAATGGCTGCACATCTGTGTTATTTTCACCAGGAAACGTTTTTCAAAACATATATTAATTATCATCTTATTTGCCTCATGGTGAAATTGTTATCAGATTTACTCATTATAAAAGAATTTTCAAATTAAAATAGAATAAAACCTTTAGGGGCTCAACTAGGCTCTCTGAGGCGATCTCAGAATTAAAACCTTCGCTTTCGCTTCCTAAAGCATATTATCTGTGGAGTCTAAACAGATTGGCAGCGGACATCCGCCAAGTGTTTGTTTATCATTTATGCAATTTTCGTGATGACCAAAGCGGAACTTAAACAAAGTGACGTTGAGAGATCCAATATTCACACTGCGAGCTGAAACATCCGTTTGCATCCATTACAATGAATCGTTCTTTCAGGAATGCTTAATTGCTGGCTCGTAGGATAATGGCTATAATATAAAAGTGAATATTACAACATGGAAAAAAACAAGCGACCTTAATTATTATTCAGGTGCACCCAATATTATTCGCCAAGTTTTCAAAGTAATCTAAATTAAAAGGTGAGCTCCAATAATTTAAAAGGAAAAAAAAAAAGAAATTGTTAAGAGTGAACGCTAGAAACCGAGATGCAGATACTTCATCGTTATGCTCAAATATTAGGACAAAAATTGTTTTATCAAATTGTGAACCTTTTTGCCACTCTCGAGTTATCGCCTGATTAACTAGCACGTTGATATCAGTTAATGCAGAGCAAACAAACGAATTGCAGTCAAGACAACTAATTCAGGTAAGTTCAGCCTCATAGGTGTTGAAAAAAGGATCTCTTCAAATAACATAGATCACTGGAGTAACTTTGTTTGAAATTGATTCTCTGGTCTTTTTGTAGCAAACTTCGGTCTAATTTACATTTCGCAACCCGTCAACCAAGTCACAACAATGAAAGTTTTCGATTGTTTTTCAATACTGTTGTGTCAGACGGACGAGATTGTAAAACGTACCGATACATAACAAAGTTTATTATTATTCTTGTGATTTGGTGCCCGCATCGATACTTGAAGGCAAACAGTATAAATTAAGCTGATTTTTGATATGATAATTAGTTCACATTATTTTCTTTACTTAATTCCCGGGTACATTTCTTCTGAAGACATCATCAGAAATTGGCGTCAATCACTTCTACCTGTAAGTATCGCTTAAAATAGATAAGGAAAACGATCGAGTGAAGGTGGTTCTGGCTAGTCTTTTGAGAAGGCCGTCGGACACTTTTTTCATATTGATCAATGATTGTTTAAATGCAAAGAAGCGAAAATAAAGACTTGTACATCCTCATCATTGCAGAGTAGACAGCACAAGTTTCAATTCACGATAGCGATTAAGCGTTATTTGTCATCACGGAAATATAGAAATAATTCTCTACAAAACATCTTTTTTGATTTTCAGACCTACAAGGCCAAGGGTTACTAACCCCTCTTCACAACTGCCGTTCTTAGAAACTTTTAAACCGACAAGTTTTCTGAGAAAGGAATCCCAGACATTCGTCCTTTTTGACGAAATTAGAACAAGAAGTGTCCAAAAAGCATCCGAATTTTCACGTTTGTATTACGCCACATTGCAATGGTTTTTTTGGCAAATTCGATTCTCTTTAAAAATTCACGATGGCGTTTATTTCAGATGATGTCAGATTTTAGCAGCATTCAGAATTTACCTATTTCAACAAGCAGAAACTGTCAAAGACTACTCATTTTTATAAAAATGTTGTCAACAAGTTGAAAAAAGCGAAGGCCCAAGGATATGATAATTACCATTTCCCTCCGTGCACATATGGAATGCGCCTTAATTGTTCGGTAACGACACTATGCAGTCTGCCTGAAACAGCGATTTCCCACGACGATTTTCCCATGTCTTAATATTCAATGGTAAACGGTTTTGAAAAAGAATAATAGCATATTCCACAATGGTCATCTGAACATCAGAATCACTGATTCTTTTTTGTATCATTATTAATTTTAATCTTTGGCAACGTCTGAGAGTACAAAAATGCTATCATTTCATGTCCTATCCTGATAGTTGGTCTTGAATACTATCGAGAGAAGACTTATACCTTACACGAAATTAGTTACCAAATGAAGAAAATTAAAGAGGGAAAAGATTTTCAATCGCAACTAAAATAAGTAAATGTAGAGCGCCTGGTCAGGACAGTCAGGGAGACCTATTATCATTATTCTTTGACAACGTCTGAGAGTACAAAAAAAGCTATCATTTCATATCCTATCCTGGTAGTTGGTTTTGAATACTATCAAGAGAAGACTTAAATTTTACATGGAATTAGTTACTAAATGAAGGAAATAAAGGAGTGACAAGAATTTCAAACAAATCTAAACTTTGTTAATGTATGGCGCCGGCTAAGGAGTCTAACCCTTTACCAAGGGCTGGACTGTCCGTCGGGAAACCTAATCGGCTATCACTTGACAATATAACTCGGTTACTTCCAGGCTGTTTTTTTTTTCTTGATTTGAACAACCTGCATTTTGTAAATCATTTGAAATTAATGAGGGTGCTTCCAATTTGCATGAAAATGACTTTTAAAACAAATTGTGCCTATAGGGCGTCAAAGTGAAAGTGAGAGTGATGTTTCAATTAGCTGCTACCGTTTTTGATCAGTGCTTCTATGAAGCTTGATGCTGAATTTATCACTTGATTAAAGCTGTTCGGCCTCAGGAAAACAATTACAACGCATGAAAGGAGTAACCGTCGACCACAAACCAAACAGTTCAGGTCGGTGAATCTTAACCATTTGATTGGAGACTTTTCCAATTTAAATCGTTTTCGAAGTTGCACGACATGATATTCTGATAAAACTTGATCATTCCCTAAAACACTGGCATAAGCATTACTCACAAACTTCCTTTCTTTTTGCAATACGCAAATGGAGTTTTCTCTAGTATAAAGTATTTCTGGGTCTGCTCCCAACAAAATATAAATGTCGACGTAAATTTTCAATAAATTTAGAGACCTCCTATCGTTGGATAAAACTCACTGGGTAAAAAAAAAAGTTAATAAGCATTGCAAGAGAACAAGACGGTACCACAGCCTTGAGTCACCGTGCTGCAGCAAAGATAAGATATTTACATTAAAACAAACGAAATCGTGTAAGGAGAAATGTGTGTAAAACTAATTTAACTAATATATGTTAATGCATATCACAAGCAGGGAGCAGAAATGTTTTTCAAGCTAGAATATTCACTGTTCTTGGTTATTCTTTGGCGAATAAGCTGTTTATACAATATCTTTCACATCAATTATGAAAGCATGTGTTTCCAAGTCATCATCTCAGCTGTTGTGCCCAGTTGTTGAACCAAGTCGGTGATCCTCTTCTAAAAGCTGTTAATTACTTCTGCCCATAGAAAAAGATGTTATAAGTAGATAAAAATTTGCTTAAAATCTCGTTTAGAGTAGAAACAAAATCAAATCTA